GTCCGTAGGGTTCGGTCCGGCCTCGTAGGTGAGCGCTGAGGGAGGTGAGTGTGTGACAAAGCGCCGTGGTTGGGGCTCTGCAGTGCTTCAGAGCTGCAGCGTTCAGAGGATCCCACAACTGCGGCGTTGGGGCTCCTGGAGGACCTCCGGTCCAACCCCCCCTTCCCCCTCAAAGCAGTTCCCTGCAGCAGGATTGTGTCCAGACGGGGTTGGATCTCTTCAATTCCTTTGTGCCGGGGTTCTGCCGTTTTCCTCACAGCACAAATGTTTGTACGTTCAGACAGAACTCCCCGGGCTCCAGGCTGTGCCCACCGCCCCTTATCCCGGTGCTGAACAGAGCCCAGCACTCCTCCTGACCTCTGCCCTTCAGATCAGCGCTGATCAGACCCCTCTCAGCCAGCTCTTCTCCAGGTGAACAGCCCCAGGGCTCCCATCAGGAGGTGCTGAGGCCCCCACCATCTCTGCAGGGCTCTCCCAGCACTTCCCATTTGCCCTGAACTGGGGAGCCCCGTGCTGGGCTCAGCGCTGCAGCCGTTCCTTCCCCATGGCAGAGCACAGGGGAGCAGCACCGCCCTGCCCTGCTGGCCCCATTCTGAGCACTGCAGCCCAGGGAACTATTCTCTTTCTTGGCCAGCAGGGCACGCTGCTGGTTCGTGGTCAGTCTGCTGGCCACCAGCACCCACGGCTCCTCCTCAGAGCTCCTTTCAAGCATCTCAGTCCCCAGCCTACGCTGATGCATTCGTGATAGTAAGCCAAAAATCTCCTGGTTCCCAACCTCAAGCATTGCATGTTCCAGCTGAACACTTAAATTCACAGCTCTTCCCAAAGCAGACTTAAAAAGCAAGATGTGATTTTAGAGCTGCCAAAGGCTACGCTGCCCAGTGGGAGATGGGGGTGAGGTTTGTGCTTGGCCTCCTGGTGGCTCTGTGTGCAGTGTTGCAGTGCTTCGCTTTTGAATTCTTTCTTAATTTAAAAACAGGCCCTCTTAGAGCTTCCAGCAGTTTCATAGAGTTGCAGTTGAAGGAAATAGAAGAATGTTGCATCGTGGCCTCAATGCAGTTGGAATTGCTGTTGCCCTGCATGGCCCAGGACCTGCCTGCACAGCTGTGTGTTTGTAGACAATTAAAGTGTTGTCTGAGAGTGAATGGATGGGCTTTAAAGTTGGTCTTTCACAGAGTGGCATGCCAGTGTAACCCTGATGTGGGGGAAAACGCAGTGGTTCTCTGTGCTGCCATAATGGTTGGGTGCTGGTGTGGTTTGGGATCAATAGACGCTGTTGTCTGCTGGGCTGACTGCAGGACTGGTGGCATTTGGATTCTGCTCCTTTTCTGACTTTGCCTCAAAGGTTTGCTTTCTCTCTATGAGGGATGGTTGCAGAGCTGGGGTTGGGGGAGCCTCTCTGAGGTTAAATGCTGTTCTTACAGAGCTTTGAAAACCAAACTGATGTTGTGCAGTAAATGCGAGCAGCCTCACTGTTGCCTCCATAGGTTCTGCTCTCAGACCTGGATCCACATGGGCACGCTGCTGTGTCTGTACGAGGTGCTGCTGGGGTAAGTGAGGCTGTGCTGGTTTGAGGCTGAGCCCTGTTTTGCCTTCCCTGTGTTCCATGTGTGGAATTGATGCCTGATAGGCACCAAACCTCACTGCCTATTGGGCTGCTCTGTGCATCCGCTCGTCGGACAAACAGACCTGAATTGTGCTGGGCTTTTAAACGGCCTCTGCCTCGCTGCCTCTGCTGATTGCTTTGTGTTCTATTCCTCGCTCCCCCCTCTGGAAGCAGCTTGTGGCAGCTCCGTGCTCCCATGTGTGAAGATGTCTCTGGTGGAGCTGGGGAAGCAGCTGCTGGAAGCGGCGCGCAAAGGCGAAGATGACGAAGTGCGGACGCTGATGGCCAGCGGTGCTCCCTTCACCACGGACTGGGTACGGCACGGAGGGACGGTGCCTTTCTCTGGGACAGCTCTCACGTGTCTTCGGGAGCTCTGTGCTCAGTAGTGCAGCTTTCTCAGTCAGGGAGGTCACCTGGGGTGGGTGCCGTTTTCTTTCCTTAAAGAAAACCCAAAACTAAAAGCAAACCAATCCATCCTGGGTGGAAAGGGACTGCAAGCTTTGAAGCTGACCCAGATGGCCGAGCTGCGGGAAGGGCTCGGGCTGGAGGGGAGCAGTGTTTGGGCACGCAGCCCCTTATTGGTCACTGTTCCAAACAAATGCAGCTCGGGACGTCCCCGCTCCACCTGGCGGCCCAGCACGGCCATTACTCCACGGCCGAGGTGCTGCTCCGCGCCGGCGTCAGCAGAGACGCGCGGACCAAAGTGGACCGGACCCCCCTGCACATGGCTGCGGCTGACGGACACGCCCACGTTGTAGACTTGTTAATTAGGGTGAGTAGAGCGAATTAGGTGTGATTGAAGGCTGGTCTGCGTGGGGCTCGGTGTCGCTGCTTTTGGACAGCAAGAGAAGAGGAATCATCCCGTTGGACACGCTGTGTTAATTATTTCCATAACTCTTCACATGCTATTTATTGTCTATGATGCTCAGCCTCTATCAGAGCTGCTCTTTCAGAGTGTTATCTCTTCTACCAACCGTGTCAGAGTTCTGTGTCTTTGGCAGAACACCCAGCAAGGAATGGCTGAGGCTGAGAGCGTAGCTGAGTTCTGAGGAGTTTCTTACTGCTTCTCAATGCTTTGTGCTGTGGAAAGCACCCTGATGGGCCGTGTTCCTCTTTCAGAACGGGGCTGATGTGAATGCCAAGGACATGCTGAAAATGACTGCTTTGCACTGGGCAGCAGAACACAACCACAGGGACGTGGTGGAGCTGCTCATCAAATATGGAGCTGATGTCCACGCCTTCAGCAAGTTTGATAAATCACCCTTTGACATTGCTTTGGACAAGAACAATCCTGAGACCCTGGTGATCCTGCAGGTAGGCTGAGGGGGGAGGAACCTGCTGGTGATTGACACAAAGCTGCAGGGAGAACTGAGCAGATGTTTCTGAAGGAATCTTTCTCTGATGCTTGGATTGGAGCGCTGAGGCAGCTCTGTGTTCTCAGTGTGTCAGTGTGACACGGCAGATCTGCAGCACCTTCTGCATTGCTGTCACTGATGTGCTGCAGAGAGGAGATAATCCACCCCTGGGGGTGGGGTTGGAGGGTGCTGAGTCCTGCTCAGCACAGGACGAAATCACACAGCTCCCATCTCCTCCCCAGGAAGCAATGCAGCAGCAGGTGGATGCACAGCCTGAGAAAGCAGATCCCGTCAGCAGCACCCTGACTGTCAGCTCACCATTTGTTCTTACAGCTGGGGATGTCCTCAGCCTCGCTGGTCTCATCTGTGCAGCAAACACCAAAGGTGAGATCTCACATGGCTGTGTGGGAATGTCCCTGGGGTTGGTAGGGGTGCAGACTGCTCGCAGCAGAGGGCAGATGGATGTTTGGTGCAGGAAGGGCAGTGAGCTGCCACCACACACAGCAGGTGTTGGCTTCTGGCTACAAAGCATCTCCATTTTCTCTCTTTTTGCTGGGTAATTCCCAGCCAGTGCAGTAGGGGTGGATCTGCTGTATGTGGCTGCTGAGCTCAGCTGTGGGGCTGCTCCAGAGCCTGAGAAGATGGATTAGGATGATTGCAACAGAGGAATGGCTGTTACTGCCTGTGCAAAACCCTCAGCACTGCTGGGGGGTGTTTGCTTTGTTCTTTGTTGGCTGTAGAGGAGCTGGGTGCATGTTCTGTAAATGCTGAGGAAGGAGAAGAGGGAAAAGTCCTTGCAGAATAAGCAGCCCTATGGGATGTGTGTGTGTTACTCACACGTCTGTGTTACTCATTGTTAGATGGAAGTAATTCGGTTCCTTGTTACTTTGTAAAGCCACACTTTGGTTGGAAAGCACTCAGTTAAGGCTGAGCCCAAATGGGGGCTCGGGGTAATTCCAGTGTTCGTCATTAATTGTCTGTATTTGGGGAAATCCAAACCACTGCACCTTTCCCATCGCACATCAGGGGCGGGCCGCTGAATGCGGGCTGTGTGGGGCTGTGCAGCCTCATCCCCTGTGAGCCATCCCCGGCTTGTGAGGCCGCGCATCGCTGCTCGCTCACTGACGCAGCGCTCTTTACATCCCGGCCGACCTCCTTTGGTCCCCGCCGTGACCCAGCGGCGCTCCTCTCCGTGCTGCGCTCCTCGTTTTCCACCAGAGGGCATCAGCGGCTGCGCTGCCGGAATCACCGCCGGCGTCTCCTTTAACCCTTTTACCGCTAAGAATAGTCCCGCACGCCTGGAGGGGTTTTTACAGGGGAATAAGCGCTCAGCTGGTGCGAGGAATCCGATTATGGGCTGCTGCAAGCTGTGCGTGCAGCCCACACAACGCCTTGGGAGCGTTCTTTGCAAATCAGTCCCTCCTAAACCTTCCTAAAATCGAGGGGTGAGGGCAGCAGATGGGCTGCAGGAGGGAAAAGGATTCCCCTGTGGTGCTGGGTGAGGTGCAGGATCTTTTTTAATGCTGATTTTTCAGTTTGTGGGGTGGTTGTAGGTTGTGTTCATGCCAGTAAAGGACTGTTTGCACCCTTTAACCTCAAATTTCCTGCTCCATTCTTACAAAGTCTGCCTTTGAATAGGAATCACTGTGGTCAATTGGAGGAAGAAGCATTGTTTTGGGAACTGAGATTTGCTTATCACATTCAGATCGCTGCAGCAGTAACTGTACTTTCCCTTACTGAACCGAGGGGGGAGAAAGAAAGGGCCTTGTCTGACCTTTAAATCACTTCATGTTTAGGAGTGTGGCAGTCAAAGTTCACATCATCCTTCCCCTTTGGAATTTCTTTCTTTCCCCACAGCTCAGTGCCTTAGAATCTGGAAGTAACTGGAGTTCTGCCACGGAGTTTCTCAGCCCTTGTGCTCAGATGTTTCCCCTTTGCTCCCAGCACACAGCAGCACCCCGCTGTCAACATTCTCTGTGGCTGTGCAGCCTCGGGGCACTGGGGGAGCTGCAGGCTGTGCCCATCTCATCCTGCTGTCTGCTCATAACCCCCCTGTGAGCATGGGGCAGCAGCTGCCATCATCACCCTTAGAGCTGGGGACGGGTCGTTAAGGAAGATCTGCTTACCAGCTGCTTCCAGCTGCAGTCCTCTTAATTAATTTGCTGGAATGCTAATGCTTTGATCTCGCTAATCTGCAGAACAGAAAACTTTTTGCTCTGCAAAATGTTTTACACGCACCCAGCACGCTGTGTTGTTTCCCCCACTCTCACCAAGGCTCGCTGTATTTCCAGGTTGTACCCCGAGCTCAGCCACCCAGCTTGGCTTTCAATTCAAGGAAGAGAGGCGGAAACGCTGACTTTTTTGTTCTGTTTTCCTTTTGGCACTGACCTCATTTCCCAAGGCGACGCAGAAGAGCTGCTGGCAGCAGATCCTGTCCATGCTGTGGGCAGCAGAGGGCAGCGTGTCGTCACCATCGTCACCAACAGCATCGCCCTGGGCAGCCTGCAGCCAGCCGGCCTCGGCCAGCCCTGCGTCATCACCGTGCAGGATGGGCAGGCAGGTAGGAGCTGAAGGCCAGCAGCTGACCACGAGCCAGCAGCGTGCCCTGCTGGCCCAGAAGGCCGATGGTTCCCTGGGCTGCAGTGCCCGCAGCATGGCCAGCAGGGCAGGACGGTGCTGCTCCCCTCTGCTTTGCCACGGGGAGGGCGCTGCTGGGCGCACGGCACGGAGCTCCCCAGTTCCAGGTGGTCTGGGAACTGCGTTGAGTTCCATCCAAACGTGACCAAGAGCTGAGCAGAACAGGGTCGCAAAGCCGTGGCGCTCTCCTTAACCACAGAAATCCGAGCCCACCCTCTCTTCACTGTGCAGCTGCTGTGGGGGTTTTTGGGTTGGGGGATGCAAGGTGTGAATGGTGGTGGGTGGAGCAAGGCTGAGCTCCAGAGCTGCTGCTGTGTGTTTGGATTTCCTCAGGGCGTGTCGCTTGTCGGCCTGCTCTCCTGAGATTCCTTCAGCGTGCCCCAGGGCTGCGTGCTGATGTGGATTAATATCAGGGCAGGAAACAGGATTAGGAAATGAGCTCTCCCCCAGTGTGCACGGAGTTAAGGGTTACATCGCTGCTGTCTGCTTGCAGGCCTCAGGAATGGAAAACAATTCACCAAAGCTGTTAATTGTTCAGAATTGCTTGCCAAATTACTACAAACAATCCCTGGTTGTAACCCGTTCTGTGTTGAGGGCAGACAAAGGGAGAGCTGTGGGGTATTGCTGCCCTCAGTGCTCACACCGAGTGTCTCTCCTGGGCTGGGTGGGTTCTTGCTGCTGGAGTCCCAAGGAGAGAGCCCATGTTATCAGGTTTAAAACACACTTCTCAGAGGGTTTGTGGCTGTTGCACGTGCCCAGAGCTGGTCCTGGGGACTGCCTGCACAGGGAATGTTTGAGAACAGCTCTGTTCCTCTTCTGGAAGGCCCCAGCTGCTAATTGCATTACTGTCACCTCTTGGTTTCCCAGCTGTAGCTGTACCTGCTGGTCAGGTTGCAGAGGAGACTGCAATTGGGGACGGGGGTGATGCAGAAGGAGGAGAAAAGCCACCAGCCAAGAGGCTGAAAGCAGAACAAAACAGGAACAACACAGAGGAAAATGAGGTGAGCCTCACAGCCGCGTGCTGCTGCCTGCCTGGCGCTGCTCTGCAGCTCTGGAGATGTGGGGCTCCCAGTGCCAAAGGGCATCGTGGGGCAGAATGGAGGCATGGCTGCAGCGAGCCCTGCACAGCACTGCTCTGCTCTCATCCCCATAATGGCTCCTATGTTCTGTCTGTGCCATAGCAGCTGGATGCTGTTCAGACCGTAGCTGTGCTCTGTGGGCCTTCACACTCTGCTCCACATCATGGTTATTCTGCTGCGGGCTGTTCCTGGCGTGGTGCAGCCTCTGCAGCTCTCAGCTCTGCTTTCTGTAGGGCAGCACTGAAGGGGAAGCACCGCAGCAGCAGCCCTGCGCAGCACAGGGGGAGCAGGACAGCATCAGCAAGGTGTGCACAGCTGTGTGAGCTCAAAGGACAGCGAGGGAACCGCGTTGGAAACGGAGCAGGTGGCCGACAGCTCTGCGGGGTCTGTCACCTCCTAATGGTGGGCTGTGGGAGTGGGGCTGGAGCAGAAATACAGCATTGCTGGGGCAGGAGCAGCCAGCGTGGGCTGAGACACCAAGGAGAGCTGGGGATGTGGGGGCTGGGCTGGACCCCCTCTGTGCCATGGGACCCCTCTGTGCCACAGCGTGCCGTGCACACACTGCAAGAGCCAGGCCAGCTCTGCAGACACACCTGTCACATTTTTACCGAGCAGTTCTTTTCTAAAAAAATGCCAAAACCTTTTCTAACAACAGTTGTTTTTCATTACTGGAATGTTTGGAGTTTTTTGTTTTGTTGTTGTCTTTTTTCTTTTTTTTTTTTTTTTTACTCTTTGCAGTCTGTGGGTTGGTTCTGTCCTTTGGTCCCAGTTCTGTAGGTGGTGGCAGAGGAGATCCTCTGCTTTGACACACAGTTCAGGGTTTGACTGCTGTCCCCCTGTGGGTAACACACGGTTCTGGGGCTTCGTTAGGGCTGAATTAACGAACCCCACACTGGCAGTGGGGTGAGGGGCAATCTCCCTGCCTCCCCCCCCCCCAGTCACCTCCTGCAAATCGCATTACTGCTTTAATCTGCCCTTACAGGACCAGTGTTGCTCTGTGCCAGGCACGGGGCCTGGCCCCCCCCCTGCTTAGAGGGGATGGGGGTCGTGCCCCCCCTGCCCTCTGTACATCTGTGCAGCCCCCCCGGGGGGGGCAGCTCCCACTCTGCATATTTGGAAACGCGGAGATCTCAACATTGAAGCATTTTTGGACTGTTTTGTAGCCTCCCACCAGCAGCAGCTCTCTCTTCTGCCCCAACCTCCGTGCCCTCCGCCCCCCCCCGGGAGCACAGCCAGCCCCTGCCCCCCATCTTCACACCCCAACGGAGCCACACCGGCAGCAGAATGCACTGATTGTCTCTTTAATTGCCCGATACGGTTTTAATTGCCCTACACGGTAGGACAAGCCCAGCCCTGGGGCACAGCCCCGCCCCCCCGGGGGGGGTCCCACAGCGCTGAATAAATTAGAGGGGAAAAAAAATGAAAAATGGGGATGTGGGGACATGAGGGACCTCAGTAGTGGGGGGGCTGTAGGGACACTTGTCACCTGGGGGTGGTGGGAGAGGGGATACAGTGCCCTTTGTGCCCCTGCAGCACAGGGGACCCTGCACGGGCTCAGGGCACGGGGGGGGGTTTGGGTGGCAGGGGGGGCTTCATTGAAAGCGAGCGCTGCAGGGGAATGGCGTGGGGACCCCACGGTGGGGCCCCCCCCGGAGCCCCCAGTGAGTACATGCGGGTGAGGCCGCGTGCTGCACCGGGTGGTCTCACTGCCCCCCCTGCCCCCCCCAAGGAGTGTCTCTGTGCCAGTGGCCGACGGGGTGGGGGGGGGCTGTCGGGGGGCACGTCGAGGCGCCTGGGGGCTCCGTCCCATGGGGCCAACGGGGCAGAACCCGGCTGCACCCGGTTGGCCATAGGGGCAGGGGGGGGCAGCGACCACCCTACAGCTCCTGAGACTTCCGGGGTGGCTCTGAGCGGGGGTCCTGGGCCGGGGGGCTGCGGGGCGCTGAGCCCGTGGGGTGTCCTGGTGGGGGGCTCTGGGCTGGGCTCCGGGCTGGGCTGCTCGGGGTGGGGGTCCCAGGCCCCGTCGTGGGGGGGCAGTGGGGGGTAGAGGCGTGGGGCGGGCGGAGGGCGTGGGCTGGGGGGTTCGGGGGCACCTTTGGGTGCTGCTGGTCGGCGGGTGCAAGCAGCTCCCAGTCCTGCTAGCAGTGCTCCCAGTACGAAGGCGCCCAGCACGCAGCCCACCAGCACCGATACCGGCACCACCGCCTCTGGCACCGCTCCGCGGACCCCTGCAGGCAGCACCCAAAGGTGGCACCCACATCCCTCCTGCTCACACCTCCTCCATCCCATCCCGTCCCCCTCTGTGGTCCTTCAGGTCTTTCTCCCCCTCCTGGCTCCCCCAGTTCCTGCATCCCTCCTGTCCCCAAGGCCCCTCCATTGTCCCCACATCCCCCATTCCCAGCCCGTGGCCCTTGGGGTCCGTCCCCCATCCTTTGGTTCCTGTTCCCACCCCATGCCCCCTCCCGCTCCCCAAGGTTCCACCCATGCCCTTTCCCCACCTCCAGCCCCCTCCTGGTCCATGTGTCCCCTCCCAGGCTCAGGGTCCCCCCCCCAAGGCTGTCCCATTTGAAGGACGTGTGGGTGTCACTCACCATGGGCCACGTCTCCGTTGTCCCCATCCCTGTCCCCTGCAGATGCTGCACCTGGGAGAGCAGAGTGGGGTTGAGTCTGGGACCACCCATATCCCCCCCCAGTGTGTCCCAAAGATCCCCCTGGTGTCATCTGCAGTGTCCAAGGGCCCCGGATGTCTTCCAATGCCCCCAATACTCCCCACATCTCCCACTGTCCCCAAATATTCCTCTGTGCCCCCAACCCCACCCCCACTGTCCCCATGTCCCCAACTGCCCCTCTTGATGCCATCTGCATCCCCCCATGACCCCACATCCTCAGATATCCCCCAGTGTCCCCACATCCCCAGATGTCCCTGCTGTCCCCTCACCTGGGCAGGTCCCCGTCAGCCCGCTGGACCCCTCCACATCCTGCTCAAAGCCGTCCCTGGGGAACACAGTGGGAACACAGTGGGGACACATTGGTCCCCCACCCCCCGGGGATGGGACACCCAGGAATTGGGGTCACCTCTGCCCCACTGCAGCCCCACCCCGAGAAGAGGGGACACACTCACGGGAGGTCCTCAGAGAAGGGGACACAGCCCCCAGGAGGCAGCCAGACGCAGTAGGGGTCCCGCGCCGCCAGGCAGCTCCTGTATGGGGTCAGCACTCAGTGTGGGGTCGTGGGGGGGTCCCCTGTGCCCCCTGTGTCCCCATACCGGCGGCACTGCCCGTGCCGGGCGCAGCGGCTCAGGGGCAGTCGCACGATGCACCCTGAGAAGGCGACGAAGAGCTCTCGGCCTTCGGGGTGCAGCTCCAACCCCAACACCCGGCTGGCACCACGTGGCCCCCGGCACCTGCAGACCCCACAACCTCTGTAGTGCCCAGAGGTGTCCCACAGCCCCCCAAAGGGCCCCATAGCACCCACATGGCCCCATTACCCCCATCAGTCCCATGTGGCACCTACATGGCCCTATAGCATCTACCCAACCCCCCACCATACCCACCTGACCCCATAGCACCCACCCAACCCCACCGCACCCATATGAGCCCATAGTACACCCTGACCCTATAGCACCTACTCAAACCCACCACACCCATATGACCATATAGCACCCCTTGACCCTATAGCACGCACCTAACCCCACTGCACTCACCTGACCCTATAACATCCCTTGACCCTATAGCACCCACCCAACCCCACTGCACCCATATGAACCCATAGCACCCACAAAGCCCCCATCAATGCCCTTCATGACCCCACAGCTCCCACAAAGCCCCCATCAATGCCCCATCTGACCCCATAGCACCCACAAAGCCCCCATCAATGCCCCATCTGGCCCCATGGCACCCACCTCCCGGCCTCATACAGCCTGATCTCCTCCAGCAGCACCGCCTCAGTGCCACCATCCCCGTTGTTGTCCCCGTTTTCATCCCCATGTCCCGCTGTGTCACCGTGCTGCCCGTTGTCCCCGGGGCGTCGTGCGGCCGTCAGCACCTTCAGCACCCGCCCGTCCTCCGACCCCACAAACAGCACCGTGTGGTTCCCCCGCGGCCCCACACCCACATCCACCGCCAGCTGTGTCAGCCTGCGTGCACCGAGACGCTCAGTGTCCCTTTTTTGTGTCCCCAGGGCTGCCCCACGTGTCCCCGACCCCGCTGTCCCCGTCACCTGGTGCCGGTTTGGGTGAAGAGCGGCCGTCCCCCGGCGGGTGCCACCGCCCCGTGCAGCAATGGGTGCTCTTTGGCAAAGGACAGCGTCTCATCTGGAATGTCCCCAGAGGTGACAACGGCAGCGGCCGACCCCATCCCTGCACAGCAACCGGGTCTGGGGACATCGGGGTACAGGAGGGGACATGAACGTGGGGACATGGCTACAGGGACGGGGTGTATGGGTACGGAGACAGATGGACATGGGGACATAAGGACATGGCTATGGGGACAGGGAATACGGCTATGGGAACACAGCTATAGGGACAGTGGGACATGGCTAAGGGGACACGGGGGCACCTGGGCCGGGGCACGCGCTCCTCTGGCACTGGGGGCCATGGGGCCGCAGCTCCGCGGGGGTCAGCGAAGGGTCCCTCAAAGGCGCGTTCCACATCCGCCAGGTAGAAGGCGCAGATGGCCGAACCCGGGATGCTGTGGGGTGACACAGGCCACTGCCTGGGGACACCCGGCAGCCCCGACCTCCGAGTCCCCGTGTCCCCACATGCAGCCATGTCACCACGTCTGCCCTCACCCCACGCTCGTGTCACCTCTATCCCCTTGGGCACCCGGGTCCTTATTTCCCCATCTGCCTGTGCTCACGTCTTCAATGTCCCCACGTTCCATATCCCCAAAGTCATGTCCCTGTGTCCCCATGTCCCCATATTCCCAAGTCCCCAATATCCCTATGTTCCTGTGTCACCAAGTCCCTGATGTCCCATGCCCTCATAGTCAGGTCCCCAATGTCCCATATCCTCATCTCTCCAACTCCACATGTCCCCAAAGCCATGTCCCAGTGTTCCATACCCCCACAGTCATGTCCCCAATGTCCCATATCCTCATCTCCCCAACTCTTCATGTCCCCAAAGCCATGTCCCAGTGTCCCATACCCCCACAGTCATGTCCCCAGTGTCCCATATCCTCATCTCCCCAACTCTTCATGTCCCCAAAGCCATGTCCCAGTGTCCCATACCCCCATAGTCATGTCCCCAATGTCCCATATCCTCATCTCCCCAACTCTTCATGTCCCCAAAGCCATGTCCCAATGTCCCATACCGCCATAGTCACATCCCCAATGTCCCATCTCCCCAACTCTTCATGTCCCCAAAGCTATGTCCCAATGTCCCATACTCCCATAGTCATGTCCCCAATGTCCCATTTCCCCATCTCCCCAACTCTTCAGTCCCCAAAGCCACGTCCCAATGGCCCATACCCCCATAGTCATGTCCCCAATGTCCCATATCCTCATCTCCCCAACTCCACATGTCCCCAAAGCCATGTCCCCGTGTCCCCAGTGTCCCATATCCTCATCTCTCCAACTCCACATGTCCCCAAAGCCATGTCCCAGTGTCCCATACCCCCATAGTCATGTCCCCAATGTCCCATATCCTCATCTCCCCAACTCTTCACATCCCCAAAGCCATGTCCCAATGTCCTATACCCCCATAGTCATGTCCCCAATGTCCCATCTCCCCAACTCTTCATGTCCCCAAAGCCATGTCCCAATGTCCCATACTCCCATAGTCATGTCCCCAGTGTCCCATTTCCCCATCTCCCCAAGTCTTCATGTCCCCAAAGCCACGTCCCAATGTCCCATACCCCCATAGTCATGTCCCCAGTGTCCCATATCCTCATCTCCCCAGCTCCACATGTCCCCAAAGCCATGTCCCCATGTCCCCAATGTCCCATATCCCCACGTCCCCATAGTCACAGTCCTATGTCCCAATGTCCAATGTCCCCATAGTCACGCCCCCATATCCCCCCATCCTCGTAGTCACACCCCCGCTGTCCCCATACCTGTTGCGCTGTGTCCCAAACACTGCCAGCACCGCGGGCCGCCCGTGCAGAGTGTGGGGCGCAGTGACGGCCTCGAGGACATCGAAATGGAAGGGGACATCCCCGGGCACGGCGCACTGCAGCCGCTTCTTCAGGAACGACGTCCAGCGCCGCTCCAGGACCCGCGGGGAGCCACCGGCGTCATTGCGGCACACGCGGCCCACGCGGGATACCGGTACCTGCGGCAGGAACAGCGCCCCCCAGCGGCGGGGGTGGGAACTGCACACAGTGCGAGGGGAACAGCGCCCCAGGTGGTGGGGGTGGGAACTGCACTTATTGTTGGGAACAGCGCCCCCGGTGGTAGGGGTGGGAACTGCGGCACGGGAAGGGATCAGGGTCAGGGTTGGGGTCGAGGTTATGGTTAGATTTCGGGTTGGGGATCAGGATTAGGGTCAGAGTTAGAGCTATGGGGTCAGCTTCAGTGTCTGGATTGGGGTCAGGGTTGCTCCCATGGGGCCACAGTTATGAATGCCCCACCTTCCCTGGCAGCCCCAGCTCCGCCGCCATCTCCCGGAAGAAGAAATAGACGTGTGCTCCGTGGGGCATCGCGTGGACGAAGTGCGGCTCTGGGGACAGCGTGACCATCAGCACCACTGTGTCCCAACATCTGCAGTGCCGCACAGCCCCGATGTCCCCGTGACCCCAATGTCCCCACACACCCCTCAACCAGCGGGAGCTGTACTTGATGCTGCGCAGCGCCGGGCCGCGCATGCTGCGATAGATGACAGCATCGCTTGCCTGGAAGTCCGCCACAGTAGCAGAGTACAGACGGTCATCTGTGGGGTCAGCACCACGGGGAAGGTGAGTCGGGCAGTGCAACACCTGCCCCGCATCCCCACACCCCCATATTTCCACATCCCTACACACCCCCACGTCCCCTCGATGTCACCCACCAGCAAAAGTGGCTGCGATGCTCTGCCGTGCATCAAAGGGGCAGCGAGCCTGTCCAGGCAGCTCCTCACCCTCCTGCTGTAGGGTCAGCGCCTGCAGGACCCCATAGCACCCCATGGGATCTCACATTGTCCAGTAGAGGTTCCATAGTTCCCCACTGGGGGTCCATCCCATACAGCCCCAATGGGGTCCCATAGTGTGCAGTGGGGTCCCACAGAGCACAGTGGGGCCCCATTCTGCCCCACGGACCCCCCTCCCCACCTGGTAGGTGCGGCACACGGGGCTGAAGGCGTTGGTCCCACAGACAAAAAGGGTCCGGGCATCACGGGGCAGCAGCACACGGATGTGGTTGTGGCAGCCGTCCTGTGGGGTGGCCCCATCACCACCCCATCATCACCACCCCATCATCACCACCCCATCATCACCACCCCATCATCACCCCACCATCATCA